CCGATAGAGCCTGGTGGAACCACTGAGACTATGGCCCCTAGCTGTCCTTCAGGTCTGGAATGAACCCACACCTGTGGTTTCCAGCCAAACAAAATACAGGCATATAAGTTAACATTTACGTCAGGTAGATACACTCTTTGGAGAGAATAATCATGGGAGAAAAAAGGGCTGCTTATGCACAGGGAGACAGCTCAGGGGGCAGGAGTGTATGGAGGGATGGACACTGGGAAGAGATAATTATGGGCAGGAAGTGGGAGTGGAGCTATTGCATTGTGGTAAACTGTGGTCAATGACATGAGACAAAGTATATGTGAACTGCTGTATGGAAAGTGAATTTTCTCTGTAATTCTTCACCCAAATCACAATTTAAAAAAAAAAGAAAAAGAAATTAGATAGCATCCTGCACTGGGCAAACCTGCTACATATGAACTCTGGAATTTCAGAAGAACAAATATGTCTGTGTCTAATGTTCCATACAAGTGAGAATGGCCAGCCTTCATCTCACACACTCTGGTCTTGTTTTCAGAATGGACCAGTTCCTGGAGAAGGTTATCATGCTTGGTAGAGAGTCAGTGAAAAATGGGAAGGCTCTCAATGAGATGGACTCATACATTTGCTGCAATGATGAGCTCAACAGCAAATATTGTGAGGGTGGTGCAGGATCAAGCAGTATTCATTCTGTTGAACATGGGGTGATTAAGTCAGAGCTGACTCAATAGCACCTATCAAGTTTTTCTATGTTATTAAAGTATTATAAATGAACAGAATTTAACACTAGTTGGTGTGTAGTAGGTCAAAAAAATCAACACTACGCTGGTGAATGTCCAGTTCCTGGCTTGGTAATTCCATCATATCATTATCACAGCCTTTTATTAGAAGCCTTTAGTAAGAAAATAATTGATAGGTTTTACTTTTTGAAAGACTACAAAAGATGCAGATCCTGACATTTGTTGAATGACTGAATGATTAATGAATTGCTACCCAATTTCTCTTTGACACATCAAATCATTCTAAAAAGATTCTTAGAAGACTGTCACCTTTAGCAACTTATATGAGTACAACGTAAAGAAGTGGCATACCTGTATTTCTTCACGTTCCTTTTTATCTGGAAAAGATCTTGCAGTTGTAGTGTACATTTCAAAAACTTTGCGTTCTTTTTGTAGCTTCCTCATTTCCTCCTTTTTAAACTCTTCTATGCGAGCCAATTCTTTTGCTTTCTGTTGTTCAAAGTCAGCAATTTCTCTCCTAAAATGAAACAACCATGTTATCTTCTAGGAGAACCATTTCAATATAATAATCCACATATGGTACCAAAATGAAAAACAGGCAACAGCCTGACAACACAAAGCTGCTAAAAAAAACCCTGTTGTTGTTATGTGCCGTCGAGTCGGACCTGACTCATAGCAACCCCTCCTAGGTTTCCGAGGTAGTATCACTATGGAAGTAGATTGCCCAACCTTCCCTCTGAGGAGTGCCTGGTGGGTTTGAACGACCAGCCTTCTGGTTAGCAGTCAAGTGCCTTAGGCACTACGCTACCAGAGCTCCTAGTATTGGTAAATCTATTTTCACTATATGCAACTGAAATAACAGCCAATTCACACATTCAAATTCACTGAACACCTACTATGAATCATGCACAATGCTGGGTAATGAAGAAATTATAGTGAATAAAGCTCCCCATACCCCCATGAACCTTTATACAATACTAATAGGAACAGACAACGAAGATAACTACATGAAAATAATAATAATAAGGCACATTACTAGTTTAGAAAAATAAATAAAGCAAGGGAGAAGTTAGGAAATATATGGGGTAACTTTGCTGAGATGATAACATCAGCAGACAGACCTGAAGAAAATAAGAGAACAAGCCATATTTAGACAAAGAGCAGTTCAGGCAGAGAGAACACCAAGACTAAAAGCTCTGAAAGCGCAATGTACCTGATGCATTCAAACAATAGTCAAGAAGCCAGTGTAGCTAAAACAGCAAGGGCAAGGGAGAAAAGAGTAGGAAAAAAAAATTAAAAATCACAGAAAGTCAGATTAGTTAGGGTATTATAGGCCATTGTGAAGACTTTGGTATTTGATCTGAGACAGGAAGCTTAGAAGATGTCTGATCAGAACTGTTATAATACAGGTTCACTCTGGATGGTGTCTTAACTTAAGGAGACACAGGAGGAAAGACAGAGACTAGTTAGAGATTTTAATAGCTAGGTAAAAGATAATGGCGATTTGGCCTACAATGGTGGTTGTGGGTGTGGTGAGAAGTGGTCATAGTCTAGAGCTATTTTGAACATAGAGCTAACAAGATTTCCTAATGGATTAGCCATGGAGTGTGAGAGAAAGAGAAGATTCAAGGATGACTCCAAGATTTCTGGCCTAGAAAAATGGAAGAAGAGACTTATTTGCCAATATGAGGAAGATACTGAGAAGAACAGGTTTGGGAGCAAATATTAGGAATATATTTTCTTATATATAATAAATGTGAAATAACTATTAATAGCCAAGTAGAGTGACTGACTAGGCAGAAGACTATGAGATGTAGGCTGGAGATTGAAATTGGAGATACACCAGCTCTAAGGCACTTGACTGCTAACCAGAAGGCTGGCAGTTCAAACCCACCAGCCACTCCTCAGAAGGAAGATGGGACAATCTACTTCCATAGTGATACTGCCTCGGAAACCCAAGGAGGGGTCACTATGAGTCGGGTCCAACTTGACGGCACATAACACCACCACCACCACCAGCTCAGAGGTAGTATATAAAGTCATGAGATTGGATGAGCTTTCTCCAAGGATTAGAAAATAAAAAAAATGTATTTGTAGTGGTTAAGGTTATGAATCAACTTGGCTGGGCCTGGATTTGAGTGCCTGGGATGCTGGATGTAGTCATTCCCCATGATGAGACTGGTAATCAACTCCATGGTGGAAGCTGCTATGAGTAGCTAAGTAGCTGCCTCCGAGATGTGTTCTGCTTCCAGTAGATATAAAGCTTTGAGGAGGTCTCTGAGCTTTTTGGCATGCTTGGAACCTGCATTTAGCCAAATCGTCATTCAGCAGCCAGGCATGTTGCTTGCCAGTCTTGGAACGGTTTCTGGACTGGAACTAACGGCCTGCTGTGATGCTTAGTAATCTTGGGACAGTGCCATTTTACTTGTCAACCTTGGGTTTGTTAGCCTCAGCAGCCAAGAGCTACCTGAGCTAAGAGATGCCTCTAGCTCCAGTGGGCCAGGAACAAGAGGCAGAGCCCAAAGTTGAGGGACATTCACCTAGCCCCTACAGCCGGCACTTTGAACTCAGACTTCTAGCCTCCTAAAGAGTAGGAGACTAATCCCTGTTTGATAAAGCCATACATCTGTGGTATGTCTATTATAGCAGCACTAGAGAATCTACACAACACTCATAATTAACTAAATATTCAAAATTTCTGTAATATATACACAATCATATATTCAAAGGCAAAAATTAGGGAAGAATACTTGAAGCACTTATGACAAAGGTTTAATATCTTATAAAACTCCTTCAACCAATAAAACAAACCTCCCACTAGAAATATGAAGTCTCTCTAACAAATGGTGTTGCAAAAACTGGACATCCATTGGTGAATGTCTTTGTATGGATGCTTCCACCACAATGAAAATATTAAAAAAAATAAAAATAAAAAAAACCACTGGGCATCCATTTGCAGAAAAATGAAACAGAATCCATATCTCACACCATATACAAAAACTGACTCTAGATCAATCAAAGACCTAAATGTAAAACCCCAAACCATAAAGATAATCAAAAAAATAGGGGCAAACTTAGGAGTCCTGATACACAGTATATATACACTATCCAACATAACTAAAAACAAACAAACAGCAGAACACAAACTAGACAATTGGGACCTCCTAAAAATTAAACATTTATGTACATCAAAAGACTTTGTCAAAAGAGGAAAAAAGAGAACGTACAGACTGGGGGAAAAAATGGTAACAATGTATCAGAAAAGGGACTAATCTCCAAAGTATATAGAAAACTTCTACACAACTCAACAACAACAACAACAAACACAAGTAATCCAGTTTAAAAATGGGCAGAGGACATGACCAGACACTTCACCAAAGAAGGCATTCAGGCAGCTAACAAACACACAAAGAAATGCTCGCCATCAATAATAATTAGAGATATAAATCAAAATAACAATGAGGTATTATCTCATCTCAGCATTAATAGCAAAGTTCAGGGAGTTCCGGTAAGATGGCAGAATAGGCAGAAAGACTGCACAGACCCTCTTCAACAAAGAAAAGGGGAACCAATTAACACAGATATAGAAGATAATCCTGGACTTCTGAGCCTTGAAGGGAAGGATATAGAAGTGGACTAAACTCCAACTAGCAGAAGAATTTGCATGAAAACACCAAAAAAGGAGATATACGGAGCAGCGATCCTGTTGGCACAGACAGCTTGAATACTGCCGAGTGGTGGTAGGACCTAAGAATTAACCTAAAGATCAGCCCTGCTAGCCAGGGACTGCACAGAGGAGTGCTCTGGTGGCTGGGGAATAAAAGGGGAAGAAGCAAAGAGGAAGGTGGGCTGAGCTGTGGACTTTTCTCTGTCTGGAGGGCACAGTCATTTTGAATGTTTACAAGCAGCTTGACCATTTTGGATATTTAAAGTAACAGCATTCTCCCAGATTCCAGGGACTTAAGAACTGGCCCACCTCTCAGAAACCTGAAGGATATTCCGGACTCAGACGACTGAAAAGGTACAACATTCCCCTTGTTACTCTCATACTCCACACCCTCTTGGGTAATGGAGGTGAAGCCATTCCTCACTCCCACCCACTTTCTGGGTTGGCAGGAACTCCATCCCAGTCTCTATGCTCGAACGGAGCCTGAGTGCCCTGCCCCACCCTGCCCCAATTTTTTTTTTTCTATTTTCTATTTTTTAGTTGGTTAGTTTTTGTCTGTTTAAAAACGACTACTATTATTATTACTTTTATACTTTTTACTATTATTCTTTATTCTTCCCCTCCCAGATTCTAGTCTTCAGATTTTTTTCTTTTCCCTTTTCCAGGCTGCAATTTTTTTTTTTTTTCTTTTTTGTGTATTTCCTCTCCTTGTATTTCCTTTTGAACTTTTCCCTTTTTTTTTCACTATTCTCCTTCTCACCTTTTTCCTCTTACTGCCCTCTCTCAGGTATTGCAGGGGTTTTTTTTATTTGTTTGTTATTTTCTTCTTTTTCCCTTTTTTCCTTTTTTTGATTACTGTTCCTGTGTGATTAAATGGTGTATTTTTTGTCCATGTGCTTTTACTTTTTTGATTGCTATTCAAACCTCCTATTTGTTTAACTGAGTGGAAGACAGCAACAGTTCTCATACGACATAACTACACCCACACCTCCTGCACCTTCACTTATTGAGTGAGAGCCACCACTTCCTTCTGCACCAATGGGGCAACAATAAACAACCACCAAGAAGAGCCTGACTCACCCGTGGCTGCTCTTCACAAACAGTTAACAGAGATCTAAATACAATAATGCCACAGTGTCTCGGACACAACAGACCATCACAGTACACTTAAAGCAGCAAAATAAAGTGGTAGAAACAAGGGAGCAGGATACAGATACAGAACACATACCTGAAGAAGCAGCAGCATTGGAACTCTCTGATAAGGAATTCAAAAGAATTATACTTAGGTATCTTCAAAGGACTGAGACAGAGACCAAGGAAAACAGAGACAAAACCCTAGAAGAATTTTGGAAGAAAATACAAGAAAAAATGACATAATAAATGAAAAAACTAGAAAAAATTCTAAATCTACAGTTAGAAATCCAAAAGACTAATACTAAATTGTCAAAAATAGATAATACATTGGAAGGGCAAAGGAGTAGAATTGAAGCAATGGAAGACAGAATTAATGAGGTTGAAGAAAAATACCTGAATACTTCTCCAGAAAGGAATCAATCAGAAAAAAGATCTAAACAAAATGAAGAAA